GTGGTCAGTGGTGAACAAGAGAGAAAGAAGGGGACATACATTTATGCCCACATCCCGGGTCGACGACGACAGGGGGAGGGGCGAAGCTTCGGTGCTGGTCTGCGGTACATGAAAGACTGCCTGTGCTTGATTGAGCCAGATGCTATCAATGTTATTAGCTTCAGAAACTATTAGACTAGTTAGTTCAGTCACATGGGTCCAATAACAACGGAACAGCCGGACGTGACAATCAGTCGTAGTGAACAGGTCAGCTGGGGCAGCCAGTTTGATTGCCATTGTTCCATTGGCAATGAAGCGGCCAGTTTCTGACCCTGGCAGGGTTTACGCTCCTGCGGCGGAACCACTTTTTCAACCGACGGGCTCTGACCACGTCCCGACGGGCTCTCAGCCCATCCTGATGGAACTACAAAAACATTTAACTGGGGCCTCTCTCCCCTTACTTACATCCATCTAGATCTGTAGCATAATGTATCTTAATCTTTATCTCATCCAACTCCTGCAAGATAGTCTCCATATCAACCAAAAACTGAATTTTGTCCCAACAGGGAAACACTCACCTTGTAGTTAAGAAATGAAAGCTTTTCATTTAGCTACTCACACCTTGTCTACTCATTTGTGGCTCCATTGGGGTGTCAAACTGGAATTGATGGTTCTGTTGGGGATGTCTCTGTCAGGGTGTTTGACATTGAGATTGAAGGCGCCACGGGGGATGTTTCCGTCGGGGTGTTTGACATTGAAATTGAAGGTGCCGCGGGGGATGTCACCGTCGGGGTGTTTGAGGTTGAGATTGAAAGCACCACGGATGTCGCCGTCGGGGTGTTTGAGGTTGAGATTGAAGGCGCCGTGGGGGATGTCACCGTCGGGGTGTTTGACATTGAAATTGAAGGTGCCGCGGGGATGTCACCGTCGGGGTGTTTGACATTGAAATTGAAGGTGCCACGGGGGATGTCACCGTCGGGGTGTTTGAGGTTGAGATTGAAAGCGCCGCAGAGGATGTCTCCGTCAGGGTGTTTGACATTGAAATTGAAGGTGCCGCGGGGGATGTCTCCGTTGGGGTGTTTGTCATTAAAATTGAAAGCACCACAGAGGATGTTGCCGTCGGGGTGTTTGAGGTTGAGATTGAAGGCACTGTCGGCAATGGCCCCATCAGGGTGTTTGACATTGAAATTGAAAACATGACCTCCACAATATGGTCATCTGTGGCATGATCTTGAATATGTCAAGTTAGCAGAGCATTTTATTGACTGTGGCAGAGCATTTGATTGACACTGACAGGGAATTGAGAATTCAAAATGTTGACTCCCACGGGGCATTTGATTGACTCCGATGGGGCATTCAAAATTCAATGTCAGCTCTGGCGAAGCATTTATTCAAGATAGAGGAGTCAATCCACTACAGCATTTTTAAGCTGGTGCCCAGATCATCCATCCATGTGAACTGAAACATGCAATGGCTTGGAATATGTGATTTGCAGAAACAAGAAATATATTGTCAAGAAATCAACGCACAATATCGATGAAAGGTCCTGCTAGTAGCCATGACAAATCCTCATAATACAAAAGAAAGATCCACTGAATTGGAGGTCAGATAGTTGAGGTGTGCACCATTTAGTTTTTAGAAGTAGAACAACTCTGGCAGCCCGCCTTACCAAATATGGGCCAGCGGCAACCTAATATGGAAGGAGCACATTATTCACACACCATCTGAAACTACGCACTGCGCCACGCTCATTGGCGATGCAACGCGCCAACAAAACAAAGACATTGGGGGGATCCCAGAAAGGAATAGAATCATTTGGAATAGTTTTCTCAGTGATTGAAGAAGTTTTTGTGAACAGACCTCGGAAAGAGCTATTTGGTGCATGAATCTTTATACAAACCAGTTGCACAACATGCCATTTTGCATACATCAAGTTATATTTTTTTTTCTTCCCTCACAACTGCTTCCCCCACCTATCTGAATTGATTCTAAAGTATGTAGGCTATATTTGGGGAAAGTATGGGAGCATTTCAACAAGATTTAGATAGTGAAAGGAAATAAGAAAGAATGTGGTTTCATGTTTAGAGTCATATTTTCACCCTTTCAAGCTCCAGCTCCCCCAAACCATCAGAAAACTGCTTTGGAGCAGGGGATATATATTCTGCCATATGTTGACTATGTATAAGAAAGGCTCAGATGTTGAGATTTGGTAGCAAAGTATACAGAAAAGTCAACAATATCATGTTGTGAGATATTTCATGCATTCAACCTCATTTCTCCACCATGTGCCAAAATTCTTTTCCAAAGTAAACTTGAACCTATTTTACAACAGTTGTAGTATGCTGGAAAGATGTATTGAGAAGCTATAACAGTACAGCTCATTTTTTTCCCCCACAACTCCAGCGGGGCATTTCATTGACTCCATCGGGGCATGTAAAATTAAATATGTTGACTCCTGCAAAGCATTCAATACACTCCGATGGGGAATATAAAATTTGAATTGGGTGGGAGACAGTTGATTGACTTTCATGGGGTATTTAATTCACTCCATTGAGGCATTTAAAATTAAATATGTTAACTTCTGCAGGGCAGTTTATTCACTCCGACGGAGCATTTTATTGACCCCGTCGGCGAATTTAAAATCAAATATTTTGACCCCGCGGCGATTTAATTCACCCCGACGGAGCATTTTATTTACGCCGTCGGGGCTTTTAAAATTAAATATGTTAACTCCCGCAGGGCAGTTTATTCACTCCGACGGGGCATTTTATTGACCCCGTCGGCGAATTTAAAATCAAATATGTTGACTCTGCGGCCATTTAATTCACTCCGACAGGGCATTTTATTCATGCTGTCAGGGCATATAAAATTAAATATGTTCTCTCACAGGGCACTCCGACAGGGCATTTTATTCACTCTGTCATGAAATTTAGAGTCAAATATGTTGACCCCCGCGGCGCATGTAGTTTACTCCTCCAGGGCATTTTATTTACTCTGACAGGGTATTTTAAATCAAATATGTTGACTCCCATGGGGCATTGGGTTCACTCCTCCAGGGCATTTGAAATTGAGTATGTCAACTCTGGCAATGCATTTACAATTAAACATAATAACCCCTCAAGTCAATCAAATTCTTCATGGAGTCAAAATAGTCAAATTTAAATGCCCATGGTGGTTGACATACTCAGCTGTAAATTCTCTGCCAGAGTGAATCAAATGCCCCATGGGAGTTGAAATAACCGCCCCATTGGAGTCAATCAAATGCTTAACCAGAGTTGACATATTCAATTTCAATAGATGTCATTGATTAATATTATGGACACAGGTAATTTACCATTGGAGCAGGTTGGGGTATATACAGCATGCTTTGCTGACCAGCAGCTGTGTGGTAGAGCAAGTAGCTTAGGGTGGAGGTTTACAATTAGCTACTACTGATAGAAGCAAACAGTACAACATCAAAGCAGGTAACAGTATTACAGTTGTTCTAGTAAAGATTGGGGAACTATGGTGTGATGCCGACGGGACACCCAGAAGGCTGCCGTAGGAAGCTGCCGCGGCAAGAGACGCCGTGCCCGCAAGCCATTTGTATGCATCCGGCTGGTCCGTTGGTAAAGGGATGTTTTGGAAAGTCCGGCCGGGACCGGCTGGCCCGTTCATTACGAGTCATTGTCATGTCTGGCTACTACGTTTGGTACGTGACACAGTGACTGATATATGTGATTAGACAGGGCGGAGAGGGAGGGCCCAAGTAGAGGTGTCCGGAACACCTGCACAGATGGGAAGGTTGCGAGGATTCATACTTTGAGGACGTGGAGGGAGAAAGAAGGGTGAGAGACATGAGTATGAAGATGACGCGGCATCCGCGACGTTATGAAGAGTGTCAATCGGTGGCAAGGCCAGGGTCAACGTGAGTCGCATGGGGGGAGGCGAGAGTGGTGCCAGTGCTTTGAGGCTATGTGGTGCATGACTAGGGCGGCGTCAAGGATACGTGGCTGAGGAAAATGAGACGATGGTTGGTCTGATTTAGGGAGGCCCCAAACGTAAGCCAACGACGGCGAAGGCGATTGGAGGCGCAATGGGCTGCTTTCTGTAGTTGGGATGTAACAAAATTCGCCTTATTTGCAAGACAGTGAGCGCCGTGCTCGAATAGCACATCCTATTATCGATTGCCGTTAGTATTATGAAGCCTCGACTTGATGTTGGCATGTCACAACTCACAACGCTTGGTGATGCAGGGTAATCACGCGGTGAACAGACACAAGCACGAATTGAATACTGTGAGATGTGTTAGAGATTTGAAGTAGAGAAACAGAAAACGACGCACATACCCCAGTCCCATGAAAATAAAAGAAAAAGTGACTAGGCACGAGGAATGTGAAAGTGGGCACATGCCCGAGGTGAATGGCGCGGATAGCTTTCATGCGAGGGGTCCTACCCTCCGAGTCCTAGTACTCACTGGCGTTCCTCACAGCCAGTCGAGTAACGGAAAACGGCCAGGTGCCTCAGGCGCAGCGAGCATGAGGAAAGTAGGAGGCTTTCAAAATTCACACATCATTAACACCTGGTTCTGTCACGTGTTTTCTCTGCACCTGACTTCAAGAGACTCAGAGTCGACGACTCGAGACGCGTCGACGCGTTTCAACTTCAATCGCAATCATGATTACGACAAAGAAAATGGACCGAAATTTAAAGACGCAGTGAATGAGAAATACACAAAAAACAATCTAGCAGGAATGGCTGGATGCCAGGCTAGCATAACGGTTAAGCTGAGATGCAGCAGGGCTCAAGTGCAGGTAAGTACTTATTTGTAGCTGAGTTTATAGACATATTAGGAGTGTTCGAGGTCCAAGCCCTATGTATGGTTGTGTTTGACGAAAAAACAAACCTGTCCAGTCCAGCTTGCAATACGGGAGCGATTCCCGCATAATCAAGGGGTCTGTCCGCGTACATTAGTTGGTACTTCTTTCGCAAGTGGATTGAATCTACTTCGATTGATACCTAATGAAAAATGACACCAAACGAGGCCGGAGTGAATTAGAAGACTAATGGAATGGATAGGATCTGAACTTACGCAAAGATCCTTTCCTCCGTCTCCAGTTCCTTGGATTTGAACCCTGCACAATATAAGACCCTGCTTCCACGTTTCTATGCCACGTCAGCCACAATTTGACTTCGCTTATTCACTTTTCAGTACATTCCTTCGATGATCAATGTCAAGCAATGTTAAATGGCAACCAGGTATGTCACGTCGGTTTCTTCATGGACAACGTTGTCTTACCTTTGCTTGTATTTTCTTTTTGCAGACTCGTTGTGAAGGACTAATGACGACGAAGTTTTTGATAACATGGGTCCCGCACCTGGTCCGTACTTACCACACTGCTTGTACCCCCCAGGTTCCCCATCATTAACTTGTACGCCTCGTTTGCATGCAACGTGAACCATCGCTTCGTGATGGATAGCTTCGAGGGGCGGAATAGGCGTTGCGAGCCTGTGTGAAAGTCGTTAATGCGTCGGTTCTGCAACAAATACGTCTGTTTCGTTCACTTCACCTCGAGTCCACAGTAGTTACTCACCAGGAAGCCTGTATCCAAGTTCGTTCATCGCATCTCCCGCGTAACATAAATTACACGGTGATCATCACATGTGACGGTGGTGACTCAAGTACCTAGCCACCGCCAACATGATCATGCCCCCATTCGACAGGGGTTTTCGTGCGCGAAGCCCTCAGCGTCGGCGACTCCAACACATAGTACGATGGACGCGACATATGATTCATAGGTCTAGAATGTAGGCTGGTAAGTCATTGATATTGCGAGGGTTTCGTGAAGGCTTACCGTGATTGTGTAACATCAGCGGGACATCGACAACACTATGCGTTCGAACCACTCAGTCGTTGAGGGAATACGGGTGGATGGGCGAGCATGCGGCGTAGAGAAAGGGAGCGGAGATGATGGTACGTTCATTCCCTTTACCCCTTTGGTCCTGAATGTTAAGTACATTTCCCTAGGCCATCCCCGGACTGAATGTTGGTGAATCCCACGACCTAATCCCATCTGAAACAAAGTGTGCCTATGCCTGAGGATATACGTACGGCGTCACACTCCCCGAAAGGGGATAAGGCTCATCCTCGACACTGTGTCGAGGATCAGAGGACGACAAGAGGACGAGCAACACAGTTGGACACATCCCAATTGGGTGAGGTGACGAATGCGATGTCACACATCACTACCCCTCTCTTCTCACAACCACCACGACCATCGACGACCGGCCACCAGGATCCACCACCACGATTGAGGAACGGCGACGACCACCAACGAACGTCCACGGGGCCCACCACCAGGATCGACGAACGGCCACGAGGGCCCGCCAGCACCACCATCGACGGACGGAGACGAGCGCCCACCAACATCCACGCGCGCCCAGCACCACCATCGAGGAACGCCGATGATGGCCCACCACGATCTCTGACGATTGGGTACCAGGACCCACCACCACAATTGACAAGCTTCTATGTACGGCCCACACCCACGATCGACGGATGGCCACGAGGGCCCACGATCGACGGACGACGACGAGCGCCCACTAATGTCCACGGGGCCACGGGGGCTCATCACCACCCTCGACAAACGGACACGGGTGCCCACGACCACGATTGGCAAACCCAATCGCACCATCGACAATTCCCCAGCCTGCCCCCATCCTCCACCCCCACTCTCTTCCTCGCATACCCCATATCACCAGAAAAACCTCGTGATGCCGACATAACATGACCCAACGCCCCCCTCTACGAACCAACACCGACGTGTTGAGCTTAACGCCAGCGTGCACAACCAGCCCCGACGTACGAACACAACCCGAACATGAGCCCAAAACAATCGATTAGCAAGGGGTCGTTATTGAAGGGGAGACGTGGTGCTCCTACGTTGATACTTCCTACTTCTACATATGTAGGTATACTATTACCTTCCCATGTAAAGTGTTTCTCGTAGATAAGGAATACATATTATATTGCCATTTACCCGGGTACAGAAGGACTTGGACAGGGGGACTTGTAATAAAAAAAAAGAAACTGAAGTTGGCCAGATGAGCAGGCACACGATGACATAGATTCGACACATTCAGATGTGTCGAACACATGTAAAATCGACACATTAGAAAGGAGGAACACATCAATGTGTCGGCAATTTACCCTATGTGTCGCGTTATGACCCTATGTGTCGCTGTCCCGATTTGGGGAGTGTGTTACTTTTCGTATACACTGCCTATGCCCGTGTGAGTAAGGTTGCGTCTTCTGCTCAAACGTTGACCGCTTAACTGGTGTCATCATAGAATAAGCAAGCGAGCGCACAGTCGAGACGAAGACCGTTGACGTACACCATCTGCGATGGATGGGATGGAGGTATGTGCCGTGAACGTGAGATAGGTGTTTGGTGGACGTGGAGATGACGTTAGAGGGGGGTTCACTCGTTTTTCTTGACCGCATCCGATCCCAACTCCAAAATCGAGTTTTTTGATTCACCCAACACCGTCAAGACATCTCTGTGCTTCCTTTATCGCGCCAGCGAAGTGGGAAGCTCGCAACAGGCCTAGGCGATCCACGCCTCTGCGTAAGGAAGGTGCATCTGAGGGATCAGAGATGAGCGTGACGATTGAGAGGGATCGTCAAGGAGACGATTCGGAAAAACAAGGGCTCACAGGTGCTACCAAGGTAAGTCCCTTTTTCGCACGTCTGTGTCTCCTCCCCGCCCATACCCAACCTCGCCCAGAAAGACAGTGTCCGCGCCCCGTCCCAACTGCGACTTTCGCGATTGTACCGACGTCGTTAAGAATGAACTGAAGACCCCCATTTTGGGTAGGGAGCTCGAACTGCGCCTAGGCGACCAAGACCCTTTTAACGGTGACGACGCGCCCCTGGAAACCATGCTCATGATTGAAGGCGACGCGATATTCGTCGTTTGAAGCGTTGAAGGAAGGAGGAGTTTAGGGAAGGGAAGGTGCATCCGGGGATTGGAAAACAAGCGTGATGAGGGGGAGGAATAATTTGTACCACCGAGTTGTATTATATGTGAAATACATCTTGTGTCATACGCGAAATATATTTGGTGTTCATATGCGAAATAAAGAACTCGTGAAAGAAGTGATGGCACACTCAAGGGTGTTTCACCGGAGAAATCCGTGAAATCAACTGGTGCACTCGGGTTGTGCGACTCAGGGCTTGATGTGATGGCGGCAACATTGGGCCGCCCTGGTGTAGATTATCGAATGTAGATAAAACAACCTAATTACTTCTTCTTTTTCTTCTTCCCACCTGTACTGGTGACTGTTTGCGGCCGTGCCAGTGGCCGCTTTTCCATTTCCTTCGGTAACTTCTTCTTTGCTATCTTGTAGTCATCGCTGTTCGGTAAGCCATATTCCTCTCTCGCATCCGCTGTTGCCTTCTCTGTCACCTCCATACAACACTCCTCCTGTCTCGAGATAAACAGGTCAACAATTAGCTGTGCTGGAGTGTCGGGAAGTTTCCCATTAAAAATGGGGTCCACTGTTTCCCCTGAGTTGCCTATTAACTCGGTGGAATGGTGGGTGAGTATGTGACAGACACAGTTATACTTCCATATTGTGTGAGGTTGTCCAGACACTGAGATTGGACATAGTGGGCAGTTAATCGGTACATTGGTACATGGTGTGCTCACTGTAGACTGTTTTGCTGGTTTGTAGCTCATCCTCTCGTAATGATATGGGCAGGTTGAGCTGATGATGGGTGCATTATGCTTTCCAAAGGAGAGTTGCGTTCGATTCTTCAAGCCCACAGAAAGCGCACGGATTCACGCCGACCTATTTAAATTTAGCTTATATTCCATATTTTCGTGAGTAACATACAGTTTTTCAAGGCATCGCGCTGTGGAATGAAGAGAGATGAGAGAAACAATACTGAAAGCGAAAGACCTGCACAATCAACGCTATGTACAGCGGTACCGGTGTTACCGCCATCACATCAAGCCCTGAGTCGCACGACCCGCCTGCCTGCTGCTGTTTGATTGGCGTTGTTACCCCAGGGTTTCTGGACGAGTGAAAGAATTAATTTGAATGTGCTACATATAGTTGTCATTCTGGTTTATTAAAATCCATGAACATCCAAAATCAATCCAGTTGCCCTGCATGAAGGAGGGCCAATGCAATGAGATCCGTTTCAACCTGCTCTGACTCCCATCCGCCCACAACCACTTGCCCCACACACCAATGTGCACCATAAACCTAAAACTGCAAGGACATAACCACCGCTACCATAAATCACACCTTCTGGCCAGGTGTCAAAAGCCACAAGGCCAGGAAAGAATATGAGGGAGGGGGCAGAGATGAACTTGCAGCCTGAGACCTGGGACATGTGCTGAGAGGGAGAAGAAGAAGTAAGAGCTATATATGTCCCGAGCATGAGTCTGGATAAGGAAGGGTTAGAAAAGACAGCTGACTCCTGAGTAGGACTAGAGACATACAATGAACATCAGGAAGCCTGCTTAAAGTAAGTAGGTAAGCGACATACAAATCCGACAAGTAGCAGTAGTTCAAATAAGTATACTGATAGAAGACTCACTGCTTTGTAGTCCAGCACAACAACAATTCTTGCCTGTAGAATGTAGAATAGAAACCACCTGTAGACTAGTACACATAGCATAATAAGTTTCGTCGTTGGGAATCGAACGCGCAACATCTTGTATTGTTGCCAGTATTGGAACGTCACATACATGCCTCGGAAGAAGGGCGGATTATCCTTCTCCCTTAACCCTCACCATTTTCTTCAATTTTTTTCTGCTCAATGATTTCGACCTTCAGCTTGCCGGCAAAACTGTTTTCGTTCAGAAAGGTGCAAAATTGAATTAGTACTTGTAACTACGGAACTTTGTTTACCGACTTTAACAGAATTGTTTGTTACATTTGGTCATTGTGAGACTTGTGTAAGACAGCTGTCCATGTCATCACTTCACCACCACGTCGCTCGCAACTTCATGCGGAATCCTGCTTTCCACGGCCAGTCGTGACGCCTCCTCAGTCGCACTTCGCTCCCGCAGCGACCTTGCCGAGCGATTTAGCTGGAGCCATGACACTTCCCGCTGCCAGCCTGCTCGCATTCGAAATAAATCCCTACTATCCCTGCTATCCTGCTACTATGGATGATACGATGCTCTTGAATAGCATGAGCATGAACTCTTCGTTCCTCGACCTGCCTGGCCCGTGCTCTTTCCGTCCAGAGTTAAGATAGATATCTAGAGGATAACGTAGCAAATAAAAGTCATAGCGACGGAGGTAAGGGTCGAGATAGAAACTCGGGCTTCGTCAAGTATGGTGGCTGCTGTCCAACCCAAGTCAAAAGCGCCGTTGGAGTTACCGAAACATGGCATCTGAGATTGAGGTCGATCTATTGAGCACTATTTACATTGGGCAAAGTCTATCATAGACTACTGAGATCAAGTCTGTGGCTACTGGATGCTACCTAATTGGGGACCACTTTATGAGTCTGTACATCTGCCCAGTTGCATCTTGAAAGAAACCACGCGTCGCATGCCATACCGAGACCAGATGCAATGCTGCTCGTAGCAATAGCGCTCCGAGCATAGGAGTTGACATCGAATAGTGAATTTTGGGAGATGGAGAAGATGGCTGTATCGACACTGATGTAGAGGACATCAGGAACTCCTTCCAGGGAACGAACACGAATGTACTTACTCTGCTAGTGTGGCTAGCTGTATGAAGAGATCGGGTAAGAACAGAATCAATGAGGGGACAAAGGACTCGCCAAACCTCCCATATATGTCTTGGGGTCAGGGGAAGGGGTTTGCGTTCTTCGATTTCTTCTCATTGCTGGAATAGGGAGCTGGATGCTCACCGTGATGCTGTGGGTAAGGCTATCAGTAGGAGGACAAGGTTTCACAAGTGAACGACTTACAAGAGCTCGCGTGGCGGTCTTACCCAAAGATACATGAGCGCCCCATTCTGAGGTTTTCAGAGTTGACCAGCAATAGCTCGATTTGTAGCTGACTGGCAGTGGAGCCTGATCGATGATCTCCAGTCCTAAGTAAGTTAGAGGAGAATCGTGCTTGTCGACTTCACTATGAGGATGGGGCGCCAAGGCTTCTCCGGGCACATAAGCCGGCTTGAGTGCGTATAACTGGCCATGGAGTCAGAACACGTTGAAAGGCCTAGTCATCTCCTGCAACACACCAGTCAGTTGCCATGGTCTGGGGATGAAGTTGTCAGGATATGTCGTCGCTTAGAATGATTGTCGACATACTCTATGCTTCCCATGCTTCGGAAAAACTCTGAGTTGAAGGACGTGGGTGAAGAGAGGTGGGCAATGTTACTGGCGGTGATGGAGAGCATTCAACGGAGCGCCTCGGCAATGCTGACAGTGATCAGTGATGGAGGCAGTGCCTCTGAGCCTCATGGTGATCGTGATCAGAGAATGTCACGACGTGTGCACAAGAATGTCTTCACATCACATAAATAAAGCATTTAGTCACTGTTGGTCTGCCAAAGGACCGGTTTACAGAGTGCTGAACGGAACTGTGGTTCCCGTTCGTAGATTCCGCTACGTTAGTAGTGGGTCTTCTGGAGCACCCTCGTCTGGCCCAAACGTCACGTGCCAAAATTCCCATCACATGTAGTCACTAGTGGCTACCACTTTATTTCTATAACCTAGACCCAAGCCTAGAGGGTCATTTCTATAACTTAGACTTAAGCCTAGAGGCCATATCTATAATGCTTAGGATTTTTTGAAAGGCATTTCAAATGTAGGCCTGGGTATTTCATAGTGAATTTTCCATAGATACCCAGCGCATTTTCTGCGAAGTTTCAAATGCAGCCCTGGATATTTCATTGCGATTTTTCAATAGATACCCTTGGTATTTCATTGCGATTTTTCAATAGATACCCTGGGCATTTCATTGCGATTTTTCAAATGTATCCCTGGATATTTCATTGCAAAATTTCAATAGATACCTGGCGCATTTCATTGCGATTTTTCAATAGATACCCTGGGCATTTCATTGTGATTTTTCAAATGTATCCCTGGATATTTCATTGCAAAATTTCAATGGATACCTGGCGAATTTCATTGTGATTTTTCAATGGACACCCTGGGCATTTGATTGCGATTTTTCAAATGTATTCCTGGGTATTTCATTACGATTTTTCAAATGTATTCCTGGGTATTTCATTGCGATTTTTCAATAGATACCCAGGGCATATCATTGCGATTTTTCAAATGTATTGGATATTTCATTACGATTTTTCAATAGATACCTGGCACATATCATTGCGATTTTTCAAATGTATTGGATATTTCATTGCGATTTTTCAAATGTATTCCTGGGTATTTCATTGCGATTTTTCAATAGATACCCTGGGCATATCATTGCAATTTTTCAAATGTATCCCTGGGTATTTCATTGCGATTTTTCAATGGATACCCTGGGCATATCATTGCGATTTTTCAAATGTATACCTGGCGCATTTCATTGTGATTTTTCAAATGTATCCCTGGGTAGTTCATTGCGATTTTTCAAATGTATTCCTGGGCATTTCATTGTGATTTTTCAAATGTATCCCTGGGTATTTCATTGTGATTTTTCAAATGTATTCCTGGGTATTTCATTGTGATTTTTCAAATGTATCTCTGGGTATTTCATTGTGATTTTTCAAATGTATTCCTGGGTATTTCATTGTGATTTTTCAAATGTATCTCTGGGTATTTCATTGTGATTTTTCAAATGTATTCCTGAGTATTTCATTGCGATTTTTCAAATGTATCTCTGGGTATATCATTGCGATTTTTCAATAGATACCCTTGGTATTTCATTGCGATTTTTCAAATGTATCCCTTGGTATTTCATTGCGATTTTTCAATAGATACCCTTGGCATTTCATTGCGATTTTTCAAATGTATCCCTGGGTATTTCATTGCAAAATTTCAAATGTAGCCCTGGGCATTTCATTGTGATTTTTCAAATGTATTCCTGGGTATTTCATTGTGATTTTTCAAATGTATCCCTGGATATTTCATTGCAATTTTTCAAATGTATCCCACATGTCAGGGTCCATGCAATGGCCTTCCCTGGATGGTGGTCACATGACCAATTACCAAAAATGGTCAAAAAACGAAAGTTGTAGCCCTACACTGTAGCTTCCCGAATCTGTTTGAATTATGTTCTGAAGTGCTCCCATTGTGGATATATGAGGTAAAGGAATTTCAAAAGCATCGGGTTTTTTTGTTTTTTTTTTGTGTTTTCCTCTATGAAAACAAAACCAAATAACATGATTTCAGTAAATTCAGAAAGCTAAAAGAAAGGGCTACAATTATTGTATCGTGGGAAAAATGACCAAAAAAGGAAGGTGCATCCCGTACTATAAGAATCAGATATAGACTACCAAGTTTACGGATAGACTACAAAAAAGTCGGACTTAGACTACACAGTTTACTGATACACTATAAAAGACTACAAAAGTCGAACTTAGACTACAAAAGCGTGGACTTAGACTACATAGTTAGGGTTAGAGTCAAAAGGTTATCTTGACTACAAAGTTTGTAGTGTGCGCTTTTTCATTAAAGAAGTTTGTAGTGTCCGCTTTTTGAGACTACAAAAGTTGTAGTGTTGCGCTTTTTCATTAAAAAAGTTTGTAGTGTCCGCTTTTTGATACTACAAAAGTTGTAGTGTTGCGCTTTTTCATTAGAAAAGTTTGTAGTGTGCACTTTTTTATTAGAAGAGTTTGTAGTGTCTGCTTTTTCATTTAAAAAAGTTTGTAATTGACATGTTGTTTATGGTGTCCTTGGCCCTATCTATGTTATGGGGATGAGGTTGAAGGATTGCCATCATATTGCCAGTGCTGCAGCATTAGTATTTGACATCATGCACAAGTTGTCTTTCACATTAGGAAAGGCCAATTCTATGTCT